GCAATGAAATGATATACAATAGAATGAATGTAAAACTAATGTTCTCCCATGTAAACTATTATATAATTCACAATAAAACATTTTTTTAAAAAATCAAGGGAATGGAAAGAGAAGGAGAAATAGACAAGCAAAACCAATGAAACAACGTAAGTAAAAGAAAAAGAAGCTCAAAACAAAAAGCGCAGCTGTTGGGCCAGGAATAGAGAAAACTCTGGGGAGTTCCTGCAAGCCAAAGAGCTCACAAGATGGGTGTGGGAGGGATGCAGCAGTGGATTTCCTGGCTCTATATAGAGTTCCTATTCATGGAGGCCCTTGATGGAGCTAGTTTCAGTGTCTGTTAGGACCACAGGGTTTGTTGTTGTTGTTAAGTGCCGTCAAGTCGGTTCCGACCCATAGCAACCCTGTACAAGGTTTCCGAGGGTGTAAATCTTTACGGGAGTAGAAAGCCTTATCTTTCTCCCGCGGAGCAGCTGGTAGTTTCGAACTGCTGACCTTCAGGTTTGCAGCCCGATTCGTAACCACTATACTACCAGAGCTCCTTAGGACCACAGGGTAGCTGTGGGCAATGTGACTGGTTAAATGCTGGTCTGGTGGCTCTGTGGGTTCCGTCAATCCCTCCTGAATCCAGGAACCCAAATGGTGCACCAAATAGGATCAGCCAGCCCCTGTCTCACACTGATGTGGCTTCCAACCACGTGGCTCCAAATTCCCAGAGAGCAGAGGCAGTGCTGAAGGTAAATGAGGGTGGGAGCTGGCCACACCTCTGCTTATCAGGGGAGCATGGGAAAAAAGAAATTGCACCTTTCCAGTCTTTCAAACTCATCAGCCACTCCTCAGAAATCATATAAAGGTTCACTATGAGTTGGGCCTAGCTCTTCCATCTAAGTGCCTAGAGGCACCCCACTCTACAAGCAAGTTTCTGCCCAAAATCATTCTGCATTACTTGCCCCATGGGCTGGGAAGCTTAATGTTCTGCCTTGTACTCTGGTTCTGCTGCTGCTGTTTCTCTGCCACTCCTTCAGTGTCACATTTTCTGTCTCTGGGTCAAGGAGGTTCATTGTGCAGGGAGCTTGGCGTCCAAAGGACACACTCCACTTCTGGCTCTTCTTCTATTCCAAGATGGCTCATTTTAAATGCATGCTAGAGTTTCATGTTTTTAGTTAAAATTAACTCTGTTAACATCCACAGCTGAGTCATGTCAGCCTATTAGTATCTTCTGCCACCTTCTCTAAAGGACCTCTGGTAGCATAGTGGTTACGAGTGGTGCTGTTAACCTCAAGGTCAGTAATTCGAAACTACCAGCTGTTCCGTGAGAGAAAGATGAGGCTTTCTGTTCCCCTAAAGATTTACAGCCTTGGAAACCCTATGCAGGGTCGCTATGAATTGGAACAGACTCTATGGCACATCACCCCCACCTACCTTCTCTTACCAAGATCCAGCAGGGCAGAAAGCTTGTTTGGTGGGAGTTCCACACTAGGACTGGAAGTGAAATTTGGTAATTCACTACACCACAAGCTCTAGTTGTGACTTTCTTTTAAACCCCTATGTACTTCAGGAAATGGAGTCCTGGTATGGCGCTGTGGGTTAATGCACCAGACTGTAAAGCCTTTTAAACTGCAAGGTTGGCAGTTCAAGCTCACCAGCTGCTCCTCGGAAACCCTATACAGGGTCGCTATGGGTCGGAATCGACTCGAAGGCACTTCACAACAACAAAATAAGGAAATTATTAAACAATATCATTAATATCAGATGCAAGTAAAATTTTGCCAAAGATAATTCAAAAACGGTTGTAACAGTAAATCGCCAGGGAGGTGCCATAAATTCAAGTCCATTTCATAAGACTCAGAATGATGGATTTGTTGTTGTTGTTATGTGCCGTGGAGTCGGTTCTGTTTCTGAGGCTGTAAATCTTTACGGGAGCCGAAAGCTTCATCTTTCTCCCACGGAACAGCTGGTAGTTTTGAACTGCTGACCCTGAGATTAGCAGCCCGATTCGTAACCACTATGCTACCAGAGCTCCTTCTGAATGATGGTTATCATTGCTAATTGTCAGATGGATCATGACTGAAAGTATAGAATACCAGAAATATGTTTACATGTGTTTCCACATTTACATAACCACAGTACAAGGATCAAATTCAGGAGACTGAACTATGCAAAGGCGTTTGACTGTGTGGATCATTACAAGCTATGGCTAACAATGCAAAGATTTGTTTGTTCTTTTGGCATTCCATAGTACTTCAAATATTCTCAGAAACTCAAATGCATCAATTCTTCTAGTTCTTCCTTATTCATTGTCCAACATTCACATGCACATGAAGCTATTGAAAATACCATGGCTTGGGTCAGGCACACCTTAATTTTTGTCTTCAAACGGACACCTTTGTTCTTGAACACTTTAAAGAGGTGCTGTGCAGCATACAACCTCGCTTTCATGGCACACCTCAGTCCTTACAAGAACTCTGCCGGATCCCCTTAGAAACTCCAGTGCACGTATAGCAGAATCGAGAACTGGCGTGGATAAGCCATTTACGTAGGCAATACATCTCGTCCTTGGTACGTGCAAAGCCCCCCGCGGACGAGCCCAGTTCCACCTGTGAAGGTCTTGGAAGCTGCGGAAACCCCTGCAGCAAGATACACAGACCTCACAAACTCGGCGAACAGCGCCTGCCTCTGTGGCATCATGGCGAGGACCAATCATGGCTGGGGGTGGGGAAACGCGGGGCACGATGGGCCTTGTAGTGACCGCGCGGGTGGAAACTTCAGTCCCCACAATTCCTTGAGCGGAGACAAGACTGCGGCGGCGCGACCGCGGCCCGGGGCGGCCGTCGGGGATGGGCGGCGGTGACTGGTGAGTGCTGGGAGAGCTACGGCCCTACGCCTGTCCGGCCTTTGGTACTGGTGCCGGCGCGAGCCACCGCCCGGGCGCCACCATGTCGGCACCCTCAGAAGAGGAGGAGTACGCACGGCTGGTGATGGAGGCGCAGCCCGAATGGCTGCGCGCGGAGGTGAAGCGTCTTTCCCACGAGCTGGCGGAGACCACACGCGAGAAGATCCAAGCGGCCGAGTACGGTCTGGCGGTGCTCGAGGAGAAGCACCAGCTCAAGCTGCAGTTCGAGGAGCTCGAGGTGGACTATGAGGCCATCCGCAGCGAGATGGAGCAGCTCAAAGAGGTGAGCGGGCTGGGCCGCCGCCGCCACGCCCTCCCTTGGACGCCGGGCAGGCCCCGCCTGATCGAATACCCCCGTACGGACCTAGGAGTCAGGGAGCCCGTGCTTAACTAGGCATGATTCTCTTGGGAAGGACGGGACACCGATGCCTAAAGGGAGGCGGCCGGTGCTCAAGGTCACCCTTCCACTAGCAGAGGAAGATGCTGTTTGTGGAAGAGAGGGGCCCAAGGGCCCCCAAGAACTGCCCCAGCCCCAATAGTTTCGGACTCTACGGGTTAGGCAGCATGGACTGGGCCGCAGCTGGACCCTGTGATTCCCAGCTTCCGGGCGCAAACCGTGGTAATGCCCCTGCCCTCACTCCTACCCCTGCCGTTGGAGAGTGACAGCCTGCAACTGGCCCGTTCCCAGAAGGAAGTCCGGTGGCTTCCTGGGATGTCATAGACAGGATATGTGGGAGTGGGTATTGACCTCCGCTAGCAAAGCAAAGGTGGAAGGTCAGAGAAAAAGAGGAAGACCCCCCAACGAGATGGATTGGCCAGGTGGCAGCATCGATGGACTCAAGCGTGGCCACAGTAGTGAGGTTGCCCTAGGATCGGGCAGTGTTTCATTCTGCTGTGCATAGGGTCGCTATGGGTGGGTACCGACCCGATGGCACCTAACAACAACAGCAAAGCAGGGAATGCCCACCCAGGCTGCGTTTTGGGTTGAGCAGACGTGGAACTTGTGCAGACTAATCTGTCCTTCTTGTGGCAGGCCTGTGGATACTCCAGATAGAGTTGTTGTTAAATGCTGTCGAGTAGGTTCCAAGGAGCGACTGGTGAGCTTGAACCACCAACCTTGCAGTGCAAACCGACTGTGCAGTCTAGCGCATTAACCCAGAGTGCCACACCACTAATATCTCTGCAATGTTCTGCTGCCAGTACGTGTGACCACTTGGGAAAGGCAAGACCTAAGTCTTTGTCGGCCTTTGCTGCTGTATCACCTTTGGGCAAATCACTTCCCTGCCCTGGGTGCAGATATTTTCAGCGTGGTTTCAGTTTCCACTGAGTGTGTGAGATTGAGAAAGGCTTGAGGGAGTCAGAGACTTGGTTTTGCTTGTAGACATTACTGTTGATTGGGGTCCCCCAGCGTCCCTTCTCAGACACAGCTTTCCAGTCAGTTCTCGCTCTCCTCACTGCCATGATTATTTCTCCCACCAGCTGTGATGGATTGCTACTCTTAGCCATTTCCTGTCTTGCGCCTGCTCCCAGGACCGGGTTCATTGTGCCATGCAGAAACTTCTGCAGACATGATCTCAGGTCTGTGGATGCACAGGTGGGGCTATGCTCCTCATGGGCAGGCCTCTATTTCCTGTTTGATTTTCACTTTAAAGATTAGTTCCTGAGGAGTCTGGAGACCGTCTCATGGGAGGAGGAGGCATCAGGGGCTTCTGGATAGTACTTGTAAGAACTGGGCAACTTGCCACTTAACAGGAGCCTGGTGGCTCAGTGGCTAAGCTCTGGGCTTCCAATCAAAAGGTTGGCATTTGAAATTCATCAGGGGCTCTAAGGGAGAAAGATGTGTGTGCTTCCCTAATAATTGGGTGGCAGTGCTGTGGAGTCAGTTCTGACTCAGCCACCTTGTACAGGGTTTCCAAGGTTGTAAATCTTTACAGGAGCAGAAAGCCTCCTCTTTCTTTGTAGCTGGTAGCTTCAAACTGCTGACCTTGAGGTTAGCAGCCCAATTCGTAACCACTGCATTACCAGAGCTCCTTTCTCTAATAATTACAAGCAAAGGTTTCCTATGGGGCAGCTCTACTCTGACCTGTAAGATTGCTATGAGTCTAGTTGACTTGAAGGCAGTGGGTTTTTTTCGACTTCACCTCTCGCTGACCTCCAAACCCGCAATAGGGGGACTGACTGACTGTGCTGCCTGCTGCTGAGGGAGATTTTGCTACCTGGGTGAATACACCTGGGTTTGCGGATGATGTGACTCTAGTCAGAGACACTCCCTGAGCCTTGTTCAGCTTCTCTCCCTGCCAGATGAGGATATACCATGTTGCTCTGAGGATCACCTGTGTGAGCATGGTGTTGACTGTGTGTACCCCCAGACAGTGTGTACCCCCATTCCCTACTGCTGGAGTGGCTGGCAGGGCAGCAGTGAGTCTTATTCTTTTGGCATTTTTAGCTGTGTTGCTTGTCGTGTCATGTCGTGTCTAGGCATGGGTCAGGTTCAGCAGCAGAACGGAGCACTTCTTGCCTTCCAGAGATGGCCTCAAAAGGGCTGGGACCAGAAACTGGTGGAAGCAGCTGCTTTATTCTTGTCAGTCCCTCCCTCCCTTCCCGTCATTCACATTCTCTGATCATGGAGTGCCATGCCTCCTGTGACTAGCACAAGTCTTGGACAAGAGGATGAATCCTCTCTTCCAGTAGATGAGAACATTGAGGTGGGGAGGGTGTGACCTAAGAAAGATATTGTAGTTACAATTAGTGTGGGAAGGAGTCTTGGCACTAGGCACCCAGTCCTAATCCTTGGTGTGTGAGGGGGCCTGGCAGTGACTGGGGCAGCTGTGTGGGGCCAGGGCCTGCCACTCAGTCTCTAGAGGCCTTTGTGGACGAGGATGCCTAGTGAGTGCCTAACTGCTCCCATCATAGCCTCACCATGTCCCCTTCACTCCGCAGTCTTCAAACCAGCCCTGGAACTCACGTTTTGGTTATGTCCATTTTATATCTGGGAAAACTGAGGCACAGAGAAGACAAGGAGTTTCGAGCCACCCAAGGCTGTGTACTCAGGCAGCTGAGGTTTTAACCCCTGCCATGCCTACTTCTTAAAGGCGCTGTGGTAGCGTAGTGGTTAAAGGTCAGGCTGCGAACCTTAAGGTGAGCAGTTCAAAACTATCAGCTGTCTGTCCCACAGGAGAAAGATGAGGCTTTCTGCTCCCATAAAGATTTACAGCCTCGGAAACTCTGTACAGGGTCGCTATGGGTCTGAATCGACTTGACAGCACTTAACAACAACAACATTGCCTACTTTTTTTTTTTTTTTAATGTTTTATTGTGAATTATATGATAGTTTACATGGAAGAACTTTAGTTTTACATTCATTCCATCTTATATCATCTCATTGCCATGGTTCCAATCCCTTCCATGCATCATCAACCACCCAAAGGGTATATCCCAGAAACCCACCCCCTACACTTCCCCCTCCTCCCCCCAATTTTTGGCCCACAGTCCGTTTCCCTCTCTGGGGCCCAGGTCTCCAGTCTTTCATCACTCCACGTCCTTCTCTGTCTCTATCTCAGGCATCTCTGTTTCTCTGGGTAGGGTCCCGCTCTCGGCTCTTCTCCGTTGATGGTTCCAGAGGCCTCCGCTCCTATCCTGGAGAATTAATCACTCCCTTCCTTATTACAAAACGTCTACCTTTGCATTTCCAACCCTCATAGTCCATCCTGATAAGTATTATTCACTACAGTATCACGAGTTACCCATCTGTATCTCCTTTCATCAGCTCCGCCCAGACAGATTGGATAGTACCTACTGGAGGTTCTGCCTTCCGCCATGCTCCCTAGCACCAGGTTCCCTCTTGAAAGCTTGTAAGCCAGTCACTTCTTGCCTTTGAAGTCCCTCCCTCCCCATTTGAGTATCCAATGTCCAAGCTGCCCTTCTCTGTCCACTCTGTGTTGGGTGTGTGTGTGTGTGTGAATGTTTCTTGCTGTGAGGATTTGTTCCCTCTTTTGAGTCGCTGCTCCATAGGTATAGGTCAAGTTCATCAGACTGTATCAGCTCACTCTTTTTTTTTTCCTCCCTCTATTTTCCTCTACTGGTTGAGCTCTGATCATCCAGTTATCTGGTCCAGGTCACATGGGTATCATCGGCAAGTATGGGCACTCTTCTGCATATGTCCTCTCTTCCCGTCAGCCGGTAGCTCCACTCTCCTCTCGAGTCTTCCGTGGCCACGCCACTGACTCTGGGCCCAAGAGTCCCCAGGCCTCTTCACACTGCTTGCCAACCGGATCCCCAACTGGGTCCACAGAAGTCCACTGAACATTGTAGGGCTTAGCTTGCCGCTTCATTGCTGCTTTTACCCCACTTCCCCCCATTGGTGATGTGTGTGGTCACCAATCAGAGCGTGCATTTCCATTGAGTCTTAGTCTTGGAAGCGAGTTTGAGTTGAGAGGACCTGGCCACTTGCCTTGATGTTTCCTAGGGAAGCGATTTGTTTGTTGTAGTAACAGTCCATCTGCCTCCATTTTTCCTGCAGGTCTTTCTTTCAAGAGGTATCTTTTATTCTTCGAGCCGCTCCAGTTTGGTCTGCTTGCCCTTTCAAGTGGAGATATCTCATCTCTGGAGATCTGGATGTGGTTCTGGTTTCTACCTATAGTTTTATATATTGCAAAGGCTCCTCAAGAAGCCTCATTCTCTGGGTACGCTGTAGCCCCATTTTAGGTATTCCAATCAGTCATAACAATGCCTACTTCTTAAAGGATAGGCAGCTGTTGTACGGAGGGAAAGGTGACAGGCTGACGGGGCTGAACCCAGTCACTATTCAGTGTCTCAAAAAGTTGACAGATGAGGCCTGTCACTGTGATTGTTTGCTTCTGGGCATGAAAAGCCCTGATTTTGTTTTAAATATCTAGAGGATTTCTCCTGTTCTTGAATCCTTGTACCCAATATAACAAAATCCTGTTTCTTGAACTGAGAACTGTTGGGGGTCTGGGAAGGTTCTGTACACCCAAGGGGTGGACCACTAATCTGCTGCAGACATGAAGGGGTCTGAAGGTGGTTCCTCTCTCCAGGGACCCTATGATCAGGGAAAGGCACCTGCTCCCACTCTTCTCATTAAACTGCTGGGTGGTTCTCATCCCCTTCTGAGCTCCCCTTTTCCCACCTACAAAATGTGTATGGGTCAGGGTAGGTAGGGATCATGAAGGACTCTTAAAGAGTTCTCCTGTTTAAAAAGTACCTGAGAGGACCCTAGTGCTGTTTTATCCTGTAGGGCTGGGGGAGGCACCTGCACACCTCAAA